GGACCAGAGGTAAAGCCAAAACCTATACTCAACATAGCCCTTTTCCCAACTGCATACAAAGCTGGTCTGCTCCCTTTCCCTCTAAACCCAGGAGGAATTAGCTATGCTGCAGCAACATAATGAACAGCAGGCTGAATTTGCTGGGTAAAGCCTCCCTGAGCACACAGGAGACATCCTAATTACCCTGATTGGGCCATTACTATGCAGGGTTGATGGGGAGATGCTGGAATGTTGTTTTGCTTTTTTTCCCCCCTTTCCCCCCAGTCTGAGAGTGTTGGGAGAAGAGGGAGGAGGCCTCATTAAAATCCCCCCAGGAAAGACACATGATTTATTTCACACGGAACAATTGATGCTTCCCATGCTGCAGAGAGACTGAATATTAATGCCAGCAAATGAGTCCCCTCTCATTGAGCTGCCAGTGTTTGTGCTCCTAAACATAGAGATTGTGTCAGCACTGGCTGGGGGCTGCGGCTTGGCACGACATGGCTCAGCCTGGGAGCAAATGTTTATGTGCTTTCTTCAGTGGCAGGGGTTGGCTGGGGAGAGAAGTAATTCGACTGGGATAAAAGCAAAGGACAGGAGACGTGCTCTCACTGTGAGAAGTGACATTTCACTCCTTTTCCTCTTCTAAAGCAGTTTCTGTGTCGATAACAATGAACGTACATTGCAGCTGGAGGTCTAAATTGGGGATTATGGTCTAAAAGGCTGTAAGGACTTGACTATTAAAGAGTGGACAGAGGGGATTGAATCTTCAAAATGCTTTATGTGAGTTGAAATCTGAAGTCTTCATTTACCAGCAGATGGGAAGGAGGACAGAGGGAACCCCAGTGTGAACAGTCTGCTCCTTTCCAAGCCTGTTTCCATTCCTCAGTGGCTGCTGGAGAAGGTGTACCTCCAAGAACCATCCTCCTAATGGAGTAAGTCAGTAAGAGCTTTGAGAAGCTCTCATCAGTGATAACTTCACCCACCATTTCCATGCTTATCCCTGTTGAGTGCTCTATGTCACAATGTTAGTGTTGGCTTTCTGTGGTCAAGGCAGAAAGGACTGCATCCCCAAGCCTGCAGTGGGATGTGGGTGTGAGAAGTGCTGCTCCTGGATGAGGCAGGAGCCTTCTCCTTGCTGTGGCTGCTGTGAAGAGCTCTGCTTTCTCCTCTGAAGTGCCTAGTGGAGCAGGGCAAGGCAGCCCCAAGTCGCTGAGCTGTTGTTCTTCCAGCAGCACGTGTAGGAAGGGAATGGTAAGAGCTTCTTCAGACTTAGCAAAGGCAACTTAATAACTGAATACTTGAATAATTAAAATGATGTCATTACTCCCAGCCTGCCTCCTCTGCAAGTGGAAACCTGCAGGGGACAGAGGAGCACAGGTTGGAAGGAAGGGCTGACTCGTCTCTTAACTCGTTTTAAGTGGAAGAAATAAGGTTTAAGGACTAAACCAAAACCTGCGTGGTTTGAAAAACCTTCACTGTTCAATTGAAGCTCAGAGTTCCTGCTCCTCTGTGGAGCCAGACCCTGAAGGTCTCCTTTTCTCATGGGGTGCTGGGTGATGATGCAGTCAGCACCTGGGGTAAAGTCTGCTCCCTGTTGTGCTAAATCACCGGCTGTGGTGTAAACTCAAGTTCTGGTGCAATGGGCAGAACTTGGTCCTCATTCTCAAGGGACTAACCCTGTATGGACCTGCAGAATGGGGCCTTCAGTCTTCAGTGGTGCTTGTGGTGTTCAGCTGCTGTGCTTGGAGAGGCGATACTGGTGTATTCTGACTTTGCTTTGGAGGAAGATTCTTTCATACAAAGCTTGACCTTTTGCAAGCAGCATTTAGAGATGGTGAAAGGTATTGAGCTGTCAGCCCCGGAAGCTTTTCTAGTGTGCTTGTCCTCAGCACATCCAGAAGTGCTTTTGAAAGCGCTGCGGGCACCATCCTGTCTCGTACTAAAGCCACTTCTCAAGTGTAACTTTGCAGCTGTGGAAGCCCAGCTCTACCCTTCAGGGGAAACCAGTGCTGCTGCTCTCCCTCAAGCCAGACTGGGGGATCAGGATTGGTGATTTCAACAGCCAGCATAATCATATTGGTCGAAAGATGCTGCGAGAGAACAGCTGTTGTGTCTTGTATGATCATAGGAGCTGTTTCCCAAATGGGATATGGGTAAGGAACAAAGGCTTTAAAAGCAGGAAGCGTCATCTCTCACACTCTCCTGCAATCAGGAGGGTCTACATCTCTTTTAAAGGTTTACCCTCTGGTGGTGCAGTGAGCTCCCCGTTCAACTGCTGCCCTGTAAATACAGCTTCAGAAACACATCTTCTGTTGCCTGGAAGCACTGAAGAGCCTGGTCTGCTGGGGGAGCATGAGGGTTTAGGTGTGTTGCTTTGCTAATGGGAGGTGAGTGAGGCAAGGCATTGCTGTGTGGTCCCTGCACTGGACTAATGGGAAATGGGTAGGCTGGAACGTATCTGTACCTGCCACGTGGCTCCTCTCCCACCGGTGTGAGCCTGTTGAATGAAATGCATCCAATTAGCAGCCCAGGAGGATTGATGAAACACGATTAGTCAGGTTCTGGCTGTGTCCCAGGGGCCAGTGACTCACCTCACCTTTCCCTCCTCCCCAGCCGGCAGCCCCCAGCCTTGTTGTTGCTCTCCATCACAGGCACAGTGTGCGCTGGGGCAGGTTTAGCTGCACAGGCACTCCAGATAGAGAAGGGTGACTGGGAAAGGGTACCACGAGGAGCCTAGCAGGGCTTTGGGGACCTCAGATCCAGCTTGTCATTAGGGCTGGCTTGGTGGAGCTGTGACTGTGGGCAAGGCAGGAGCACAAGATACTACCTGGTGTGGACACAGGGATGTGGATAGTGGAAAAGAGGTAACAGAAGTGTGAGCCAGGGACTGAATCCTGCCGTGTCCAGCCAAGTAGGGTTCTGTTGCTGTCTGGGAAAGCAGAAGTAAAAGTAGCTGGACCATCTGCCCCATATGGGAATTCATCAAGAGCAGAGCTGTGACATGTGGCTTCAGTCACACCTCTGAGGACAAGGAGGGGAAGGGGAGGGGGTGGAGAGTGAACCCATCTGTCTTCCTGCTGTCTGACAAGGCAGCTCTTGAGCACATGGGAAAAGTGCTGGCAAAAAGAGCCAAGGGAATTTGTCTCACCCAACGTGTCAGGCTATTGATGAAAACATTGAATAGTTTCTTCCTGTCCCCCTTTGGGTTTGGGGGTGGTTTTCCCCCTGGTTATTTAGCTGGATTCCCCTTGTTTCTGTCAAGCAAGAGACACTGGGCTGTGTATGGGAGGCAGGAGTGCAGGGAAACACACTGTGTTATCTCTGTGCCCTTCTCATCATGCCCTTCAGCCAGACCTCACAGCACTTCAGGCTGCCTCTCTCTGTGTGAGTAGCTGTGTCCTTTTCTACTTAGAAATGCCTTTTATTCAGGCTCTGCCATCAGTAAGTGAGGCACTGAGGTGGGGGGATCACATAATAGATACAAAGGGCAGAAAAGACAAGGTGGTAAAGCTGAATGTAACCCAGGACATCGACAGATTCTCTGACTTGAAGCTGGTGCTGAAAAATCAGGAAAATGGGTAGGACATTTGGATTATGTCACTCCAAGGTACACAGGGACTGTTTGGCTATTGGAAGGCCTTACCTTGACCCCTAGGTAGGGGGACACCTCTGAAGATGTTGGATCAAAAGGTTTGTCTTCATTGGAGAGGCTTTTGTTCATCTTGCCCTGTGCTTTGGGTGATTTAGGGAAAGCCATATGCTGTCTGTACCTCTCTTCCCACCCTCCCAGCACATCCACAGGTATCCGCGTCCTTGTGTTCCCAAAGTGCGTTTGCCACAGCTTTTATGAATACACATGGAAAAGGAGGGATCCCACAGCCAGTATGTAGACATCTGGACCAGGATGTCCCTTGGGGACATGAGGGGATAGAAACCATTGCAGGGTGGTGGGAAGGGGTAGGTGCCCCTGCTGGGACACCAGCTAAATGGGAAGCCTTGTTCCTAGTGTTGGGATGAGGTCTCTCTTGCATGGCTTTCCACTTCACATAAATGAGATCTAAAAGGACTTCAGCCTGGGAAGGTGCCTGTGTTCTGTGTCTTCAGTGTGATGAGATCTAGAAAAGGTCTGCCCCACAAAGACCCTTCTGAGTGCTGCACCAGCTGGTGCTGGCCTCCCTCCTTTGTTAGCCTATGGCGTCCCTATGCTTTTTAGCGTGTGGCTTAGCTGCAGTGGGTCAGACTGACTCACTTCAGGCAGGAACAGACTAGTTCAACCATTAACACCTTTACTGTGCAGCCAAGATAATATCTACAGTGTGCTGCTCTCAGAGCCCTGACAGTTCAGTCTGTTTCCATTTCCCTCTTGCTGGTGTTAAAAGAGGGAAAAAAACACCCAACTATTATCACCTCCCTTCTCAGAAAAGCGTGCCAGTCCTCCCCTTTACTTCCTTATGAGAGAGCTAACACAATAGCTCCCTTTGTCCTGAGAGCAGGTCTGGCTTGGCCCAGCACACATCTTCCTCAACCTTTGCTCCTGAGCCCTTTGGAGTGGGTATTGACCAAAGAGCAAAGCAGCTCCATGAAAACCTGCAATTCCTGGCAGTCAGAATGCGGCAGGGATACAGTCATAAAGCTCAAAAGCTCCATATGTGTCTGGCTTTATTGCCCAGGGTGGAAAACTGACAAGATACCAGGTAGTATCCATACCAGTGTGGATGTGCTGCTGAGATGGGTGCAGGTTGGCAGAGCCTGAGGTGAAAGTACAGAGAGACCCTGTTAGGAGGTTTGTGCAATGGCTCGAAAAGCCATGTGCTGCATCTGATGTCAAAATCGAGCACACCAGCCTGCTTCAATCACCAGAGGTGAGTGAATGCCTGTGTGTAGAATGAAGTCTTGGCTGTGCTTAATACCTACAAACGGGGGGGTATTATTGCACATGTCAGTGTGCACATGGCTTAGGAAGCTCTGTGCAGGTGATACAGTTCTGCTGTGTAAGGGTGAATTTCTGTTCTGGATATGCAGTGGGTGGCTGGTGGCACAAAACCATAAGCATGGTAACAAATTCTCTTGTGCTGTTTAATGGTTTTAATTCTTCTTTATATTAAATTCATCTACAGTAACCAGTTCCTCCATGTTTGACACTGCTGAACAATGCCTGCACGGTCCCCTCAGAGGCCTGCACAGGCTGTCAGTGTAATCCCCTGTGTTAAGCTCATCTGTGCTGTCTTTTCTCTAGTCTTTTGTAATGATTTCAGCTATTTCCTAACCTCCGACTGTTAAAGCTGCACATACAAAACACAGACATTTAATTTTCCCTCTTTTCACTTTGTAAAGCATTGAGAAAGCGGCATAAGCAACTCTGCTTCCTCTGAGCTGCCTGTTCACAGCTCCTCACCCCGCAGATCTCTGCACACTGTGCTTTTCAGTCCCGTTCCAAACCCTCTGCATGGGGCTCCCCGATGGCCATGCAGGCTTCAAGGCACAAGAGCAGTATGAGGAGTGAGCGGTGTGAGAACCTGCTCGTTGCCATGAAAAGCCACAAAGCTGGTGTTAGCAGCAGTAGTTCTGGTTATTGTTCGCAGTCCTTTGAAGCAGTGCAATTGGAACTGCTGTTTTTTTTTTCCTGAAATACGTAGGATTAGCATCAAAATTAGCCAGTTCTTGAAGATGTCCTGGTTGCCAAACCGTAGAGTCCACAAGAGGCAGATGGAACAAAAGGCCAAGTGACAGACCTAGGTGAGACTTGTGGCCCCAAGATCTCTCTCTATTCTTGGCTTCTAGGACATGAGCCCAGTCAGCAAAGCTTGCAGGTCAGATTGCTTATCAAAAGTAAATATATGACATTGTGTTTCAAAGGTTTAAGTTTTGAATGAAGAAGCTCTCTATCGACATGCTGCTTAGGAACCCCAATCAGGCCCAGAGGTGAGGAATCACCAGCCAGTGGTGTTGATGAAGGTTTTATTCTTCCAGGGTGAATGTTCCCCCTTGAAATCCTTTCTCTCATTTCTATTCATCCTCTTTGGGGGCTCAGTGTCTCGTGTGACAGAGCCCTCCCATGCACGAGGGGAAAGACGCAGCAGTATGCAGTATCTCACAGGCCAAGGGCAGCGTAGGAGCGGAGCCCTGCAATGACAAAGAGGCACCTGGACTCTCGGAGGTGGAAGCTTGCAGTTCATACGCTTCACCAAGAATTGCTTGAAGCTGCTGCTTCTCCATCAACTCATAGATCTGAAGGTGGTCGCTTCAGAGTGCCCTAGTGAACAGCCACAGTCACAGGCAGAGCTACTGAACGTGGGGAGAAGTCCTCCAGAAACTGGGTCTGCTGAGTGGATTCCGGTGCCAGCTTCAGACACACGCTGGCCTCTGTCACGCTGTTGTTGTTGATGGAGCTGCTGTTGCGACATGGCTCTTTGGCAGGGCGGATGGCCACTAAGAACTGGCGCTTGAAGGTCTCACTGAGGGCAATGTAGAGGAAGGGGTTGAGGCAACTGTTGGCATAGCCCAAGCTAATGGCAAAGTTGTAGGCGTAAAAGAAGGCCATGGATGGTGTGTCGATGCCGAGGTGAACCAGCTGGAGGATGTAGAAGGGAGCCCAACAGATAAAAAAGGCTGAGCAGATGGCAACTGCCATGCGGGTGACCTTTTTTGTACGCACCTGGAGGCTCCGTTGGGGCAATGGGACCACGGTGGTGGCCATGTGCTGGAGGATCTTAAAATAGACCACACAGATCACAACCAATGGCACAGCAAATGCCAGCATGAATTGGTAGAGGGTGAACCAGTAGATATCAGTCTCTGGGTTGGGAAGCAAGAGAGCACAGCGGACAGTCCCATCCTCCAGAGGCATAAGACCTGCATACATCCACACGGGAATGATGGTCAGGAAGGAGAGGAGCCACACCAAGCAGATAACCAGAGCTGCAACACAGGGGGTGCGGACATAAGTAGATTTTAGGGGGTACACAGTCGCCAGGTAGCGGTCCAGTGTCATCACTGTAAGGATGTTGGTGCTGGTGATCTGGCTGTTTGTGTCCAAAGCGGTGATGATGGTGCATAGAGGAGCTCCAAAGTACCATGAACCGTTGCCTAGGAGCTGGTGGATAAGGAAGGGCATGCCCAAGAGGAAGAGGAGGTCCACAATGGAGAGGTTGAAGATGAAAATATCTGGCACGGTCTGTTTGCATCTCAGTTTCTTCTTCTTGACAATGGTGTAGATGACGATGAGGTTCCCCACAATGCCCAGGAAGCAGATGATGCTGAAGAGACTAGGCATGATCACATTGGTGTACGGTGCTGGCTTCTCTGCTGCTGCCGAAACAAACCAAAGCAGTGAGTGCAACCCAGAGGCGACTCCTTACGCCTCTATGTGCTTGCCCTGTCCTGCAGCTAGACCCCCCCTCAAAAGTGTAGCTTGGAATGAGGTTTAAGACTAGAGAGGCTTAGCTGGGATTTGACACTTTTCGCCACTCAGTACATGCAGCCCACCCCCCAAATGTGTCCATGTGTGGGCATCTTTCCCAGCTCTCCTGATGCACTTCTGTCCTGTATCTCCCCAGCTCTGTTTTTGGGAACTAACATTAGACTGATGTGCTTTTGCACTCACCACTGTCTGACAGAGCCAATGTGCTGGTTGCCCTGCTCTTTCTAAGGTGAATGGGTGAGGCAGCTGGTGCTTTTACACATGGGAGAAGTGAAGCTGCTGAGGAGGTGTCAGAATCTGGATCTAGTCAATGCTCAAGCTGTTGTCAGAAAGCCTCAGCTCATCTGCTGGGTGGTTTGTCTGTTGTACAGCACCACACACAGAGTTCATTGGCCGTGCAGGCAGATAACTAATGCTTATCTATCTTGTGAGACCCAGGACTGTACCCTGGCTGTGTTCCAGCTCTGTTGTCGAGGTTGGGCAGGAGCATACTCTCCTTTCCATCTTCCTTCCCTGCCCCTCTCTCCCTTTCTAGTTTCTCTTCTAGGAAGAAATCCAGGTGAGTGGCCAGACAGGGATTTGGGAGTGTGTTTGAGTGGCCCCTCAACCGGGAATGCCCTAATTCTACATGGATTAAAACATGGTTTCAAGATGCTGTGTCTGAGTTCTAGATGCAGGTGGATTTCCAAGGGAAAATTCTTGCCTGCTAACACTTATCTTACCCTCACTGATGTCTGATTGTTGCTGTTGGGGTAGGAGGCCCAAACATAGTTAAATTCACACTTCCCTTGTCCCTAACCTGGGTTTAAAGCCATGTTTTGAAGCCACAAGCCCTCAGTGCCAACGAACAGGGATTATCTGCTCTTGGGCACAGAAGGGTAGGGTCTGAGGGACTGGTTGTGGTGTGCAAAACTGCCATGTGCTAGCTGTGATGGAGTCTGAAATCGCCCTTCTCAGCTCAGACAAATCTCATTACTCCTCTCCTATGGGACATGGTGGGTCTTTTTCCGAGGGGAAGGCTTTGTGTGAGTTACTTGTGTGGCTGTTACAGACATGCAAGACGTTCTCTAAGCCTGGGCTGCATGTGTCTTTCATTGACTTGCAGATGATTGAATGTGGTGGTAATTGGAAGTGCTTTCAGTCACTTTACTATTCCATCTCCTTAGCAGCCTGCAGCTGTAGAAGCGGGGAACTGTCCTCCAACAGAACCTAGGGAAATCTGGTAAAAGGTAAAGTGAAATAAGAGGTAATTATGAGGTGGTGTCTCTGCCAAAGCAGTGTCTGTTTGCAGCGTCTATTTGCTGGCTTTGACCTCAAGAATTCTTGAGTACAAACTTGTCCAGGTTTACTCTGGTGTGACAGTGAATCTTGACTGAATTGGGAAGATAACTGGGGCTGCGCAGCTGGCCTGTGGTTGGAAGTGTGTGCTATATCACCTCTATGTCATATTTCAGTGCTCTTAGAAACAGGACATGAGCTGTCACTGCCTCAGTCCCTCTGGCACTAGGAAGCAGCCAGCTTAGGCATAAGCAAGGCCAAGGTTAGAGTGCAGTAGAGCAGTTGCTGTACCATTTTATCAGAAAGCCTCCATACAAATGAGAGAAAGCAGCCAGCAAGGCACAGAACTGGCAGGGACCTATAGATGAAAGCCAGGTTTGGTTGATAAGACAAAAAAGCCTGGTCCAGGCGATTTGGGGGGGTTTAAATGGTCCCTGTTCCTCCTGGCTGCTCATTGATGCAAGGAAATGTCCCATGTTACATGGCTTTTGGCAAACAACATACTGCCATCAGCACTCTATTGAGTCCTGACAGTCTTCAGTATCCAGCCTATGGATCCCATGCACATCCAAATAGATCTCACCCCTCCTTAAAGCTTGAAGATGGCAGACTAGAAATTGAAGGATGTCCTGCTGTTCTGCACGTAGCTACTGACTTCTGCTCTCCTGTGTCTTAGCCCCAGACTTTGTAATGAATGTAGTGGGACTGGACTGTGTGAGTGAAATGTAAAGGCCACTTGGGTAGCTGGAAATTGAGACAAAAATGTCCCTTTCCTGCAGTATAATCAATACAGTGCTCATGGTGATCCTGTAACACTTGGAATGAGCTCAACTGGCCTTAAAGCAGAACGTGTGCAAGGCCAAAGGCTTTGTGTGAAAGGTAGCCCATACAGGTCTGTAGCATCTTGCCTGCTGCTGGTGTTTGTCCAAGGAGGACTCTCAAGAGTTATTAGCTGGAAGCTAGTGTGAAGCGATCATTGTTCATGTGTGTGTATGACAGGCTGGAGCCAGAAGTGCACGTGTATCAAATGCTCAAAAGTAATTTCTAAAGTCTCCTTCATCTTGAGATCATTGAATCTGAATTTTCAGTGCTGCTTCTGTGTACACCCCAGTGTCTGTAGTTTGCTGGAACAGCTACTTCAGGCATTGACTTGTCCCTGTTTGTAGATCTGTGGCTGCCCTGTTAATCTTTAAGGTCCCAAAGGAGCACTATGTGAGCTGAATGAGGACTTGACCATTTTTTTTTTCCTCTAAGGTGACTTTTTGCCCTCAGCCATGCCCAAGCGCATGAGAAACCACATCTTGACTGCATTTCAGAAGGGAGCACCTTAAAGCACACTTTCAGTTGATAAAAGACGTGCTGGTGCAGAGGGAATCAAAGACCACATGCAAAACACCTTCTGTTGAAGAGTGTCACCAACCTGCACCCTCAAGAACTGCCTCACCCTGAACTATTGATTTGTGAATGGTGGTAATATGGAAAACACAGACCGATGAGGATCTTAGCCTCCCTCTCCAACGATGTTGTCTATGCCTCGTTCTATGCCTGTCTATCAGGGCTGGTCCATCTCTTTGCAGCTACAGTCGACAGGCTGCTGGTGGTGTTACAGCCTCGCAGCCAAAGGGTAGAATCGCTTCAAGCCATAGGGGCCAACGCTGATGGTCGGGCTGCAGGAGGGGGTGTCCCGGGAGCTGTCCGCCCGCGGGTGCTGAAGGCGGCTCTGCCCGGCCGGCGGTCCGGCGTTGGGGTGCTGGGGGGGTCCCTGCGCTCAGCATCTCCCACTTCATGGGGTACGAACAGCCCCGGGCTCAGCACCGCAGAGCAGCGCAAGAGCCATGGGCAGGCGGACTTGTCCCCACCAAGCTCTCCGCGCCACCGCCCCGCGCAGCCCCTGCTCACCTGAGCCGTTCCGAGCCTCCGGGGCCGAGAAGTTGCGGGAGGAGTTGGCGGGGGCCATGGCAATGAGTCCCGGTGGCAGGGATGGAGAAAGTTGGACAAGTTCCCCCGGTGGATCCGCAGCGGCGATGGGATGGGGTGGGGTGGGGGGGTCTCCCCTTACCCCGACGAGGCCGGCAGAGAGCGGCAGGCAGGTGCCCTCCTGCAGCCGGCGAGCAGAGGCTGCGACTCGGCTGCGCTGCGCTCCGCTCGCCCACTCCCGCCCCGCCGAGCCCGGAGCAGGTACTGACATCAAAGAGCAGCTGACTCCGCGTATTCCGAGAGCATCCCTCCGCCGGCGGCGGCTGGGAGGGAATGCCGGAGCTGAGCGGGGCCGGGAGGAGCTGCCCTCCTCCTGCAGGAGGGGGCTGACTCCTGGTCCAGGGGCTGGGCAGTGCCACCGCTTCCCCGAGTGGCTGACGAAGGGATGGGTAGGATTTGTGCTCTCCCTATTACAGCCAGCCTGGCCTCGCTGTCGACAGTAGGAGAGGTGTATCAGACTTCAGCTCTGATCTGCCTTCTTCAGTGTGTGTTCTGTCTCGCAGAGACATATGCACTTTTCATCCCTGAGTCACCGGCACATCTCTAATAGCGGGGCCGAGGGATGTCAAGGCGCCAAATTACCCACTGAAAACTCTGTTACTCTGACTCTCTGACCCCTCTAACTCTAATTCCAACCTGAGACACTTGACTTGTAATTAATTCTCTGCTGTTTTCTGCTGTTCTGCTTCTTGCCACAGCTCATTTGCTTCCTAGCTCCAGAAATGAGCTTTACTGTGAGCTCAGATTTTATTTGTGTTCTATTTTTTCCTTAATAATATGAGGCAAAAAGCCCTTTGCTTTTTGAGAAGCTGCTTTGCTATTTATTTGCTTTTCCAGCACAGTCGCCTCCTGTTTTCTGTGGCTTTGAGGTGATGATTTTGTTGTGCTTCCTGCCCACTGTTTATATATGAGTTGAGTTCCTCCATTATGGTCTGATAAATTACATGTTACCAGGACAAAATGACCAGTCTGTACCTCTGAGTATTTCCCTCACTGAAAAAGCATGATATTGTCAGGAGTCTGCGAGAAACCCAGCAGCAACAGGCAGCTTTTTCTCTGTGTTAAAGTGCAGTGTTAGGGGATTGGGTTTGCATTATAAAAACCACATTTGTCTGTCTGGAAATCTCTCTTGCTTCTGTCTCCTCTGCAGTTGCAAAGGGTGACATTGGTTGTAGGAGCCTGGTTTTGGAGCTTCACAGGTCTCTGTCATTTGGGACAAGAAGTAATCTGTTAAAAATGAGGCCCAGCACACATAGCAGCAGCAATGCCAGCATGGGGCTAGGAACCAGATTTGGCAGCAGCATTTTCAGTATGGGCCTTTTACTATGTAAGCCAAAGGAGTTCATCATTATTAGGTTGTCCTCTAGTGGACCAGCAGCAGGCAAATCTGGAGCATGCTTCACCCAGGCACTATAGCTCTTGGGAACTAGAGGCAGGCTGGGGCCACTTTGTCTGCTGTGCTGTGAGGTTTTTGCTGGATCTTTGGAGTTGCCTCAGACAGTGATTTGCCCAAGAGGCTTTATCCATGGTACATAAGCCAGTTTTGAACCTGTGTAGCTTGCAAAAACAGTGCTGTTTCTCAGACACTTAATATTCTCTTAAAACACCTTTTTTCCCCTCACATCTTGAGCAAATGTTAATGCTCATCTGTGGGGTTACTACTACAAAGCAAGCTATGGTTTGTGTACTGGGATGATGGGAGCTGAGGCAGGAGGGCTGTTGTCCTCTCTAGTGAATGCCTTTGTGTAATTTTGCTTAACCCAGTCTTGAAGTACAGAGTATGAGTTTGCATGCAAAACTGGTGTGCAGTTGCTATTCCACTTTCCCTGTGTAGACAAGCTCCTACTCAATTTCCCTGGAGAGGAATGAGCTATCTTACAGCTTTCAAAGAAACAGCCTGACATTTAAATTCAGCAATTTCCAAAGCACAGCATGATTTTTAATTTGTGATCTCAAATATTGCTGTTCACTTAGAAACAGCCTTGCATTTGAGGAGGCTGTAATTTCTCTTCTCAGCTGTAGGGGCATAATAAACCACAGCCACTCCATCCCTGATGCACGTGTGTCACAGCTGCAATGACAACTCTGTGCTCAGCCCTTCAAGATTCACTTCATCAGCGAGGCCAAGTGACTGCTTTATTATTAGGCTTTTATATTTGGGCTTTGGCAAGGTTTGGTTCTCCCTTTTTGCTATGGCAATCTATAGAAGTTCTTGTCTCAAAAGGTGCTGGTCTCTGTCAAACCAGCCCCATCGAGTTGAAGGGATAGAAGGGAAAGGAATATTAACTGCAGCAACTGATGGTGCACAGCCTGTTCATGCCTGGAGCTCATCATTGCCAGGAGGAGCAGGCACAGTAATCGGCTCATTATCTGGCTGAACACTTGAAGACAGCAGCTCTTTGAAGGACTAGTTCTGTGAGTGCTCATCTACTGGAAACTGCGGCAGGGGTGAGCTCTCAAGGGACTTCGGGATATAGCCGAGGGGTTGTACTAACCACTCCATGTAATTGCAAGGAAGATTTAGGCACTAACCCCTTGAAAATGCATCTTAAAAGAGAGATACAGTAATTACCATTTAAACAGGGAGCTACCATCTCAGCAGCCTAATGATGTAGATAAAGGTGTGGAAATGGAGTTCAGACCTTCTACATAAAAGAGGAGAAAAAATTACTTCTTTCTACAGACTTGGCATCACCACTACACTTAGACCATCCTGTCTGCAACGTCGCTGTTATGAAGGAAGATAGTCATCTTCCAAAGCTGCTGCTAGGCAAATTCTGTGGCTCAGGAATGAATCTGGCTGGTCTAACAGTGGTTTAACCCCGAAAGGCTCTTGCATTTCAGTAATGAGTTATATTTCCTGCGTCTGTCCCAGCTGGAGATCCTGTCTTACGCAACATGAGTAGAACCACAGCATCCCGTGGGGCAGGAGGCGGCGCCGGCTTCTGTTGCAGCGCTACTGAAACCATTTCCCCAGCTCATTTCACCAAATAATTCCTCATTAAATTGAGCTTTTTCCACTTACTAAATATTCATTTAGCACCTAGCTACTACTCTGATTTGCACTCTGGAGAGGGGAGCCTTCACAAAGAGTCAGGTTGCAAATCCTTCCCTCTAACTCGCTGGTTTCCGTATTCACAACTCAAGACATAGAATGGGCCTCACATTCTTATTGCTCAGCTCTTTGTCTTTGTTTGTATCGATCAAACAGCTAATGGGTGAAGTTCTGCCCTTGCAGTGGCCTGAGGGGTAGGGATGATTTCATTCAGGATGTGTTAAATATGGCGCATCAACCTTCCATTCTGGCCAAGGACTTGAATATTGTCATCTCACACTTTTTCAGGCAAGATTGGTAAAGCAGTTTCCAACTACTAATGCTTTTCCCCTCATTTGATTCTGGAAAGAGTCTTTGCTATCGCTATCTCATTTATAGGGAAGGAGAATGTGGAAAGTCAAATTATTTCCCTAAAGCCGCATGCTGAGCTTGAGGTAAAAAATTGACAGTAATTCTCTCTACAGCACCGCTGGCTTAGGCAGCGTCTTATCCATCTTCCTGCAGTGATTATCCCAACACAACTGCTTGTATGCCCATAGATACGTGCTGAATGTAATCATCTGATTAAAAAACCACCCCAAACACAGCAAACCCAAAGGTCTGGAAGAGTAGCTTCCTCAAGGCCACTTGGTGAGTTGGGCATTGCTGCCATCGATCTAGATGTGGGTGGCTGATTGGAAAGAAGTTGCTGTCATGTCTCGATGCCTGATTCAATTTGCATCATTGCTACTGTGTGATCTGCTATTGTCCTGAGCTGGTATTAATGAGCTGTGGGTGAGACAAAGCCATGAGCAAACCTCTGGTTTCCCATGTCCCAGACTCAGCTTTCTCTCATGCATGTGTGTCACTGATGAACACAGGGTTAATTGCCTTTCTCAGCAGCTCCATAGCCACACATGGCTTCACAGGCATACTTAGCTACACAATCACCTAAACCCTCTTATCTGTGCTGGATTTCTAATTAATTAGCACAAAGTGGGCATTTATCTGAAACCAGATGCCCACCTCCCCTCTCCCCATAAGGTTCCTGCCCTTGAAATTGCAGGTGTGATCTGCCTGGTCACTGCTGGCTCATTCCAGTCCCATGCTGCTAATTTGAGGTTTTAGCCTTCAGCCTCTGCCCATTCTGATGGCTCATCGCCAGCTAAAGACCAGGGCAGCAGCTTTCTGTGGTTCTGTTTTCATTGCTAAGGGTTAGAGAAGCCCAGAGACAAAAGCACAGCCAAAAATAACATGAAGGGGCCAAGCAGGGCTTGCCCTGTGATGGGGAAGCTGAGAGGCTGGCGGGCTCCATGATGTGCTGGGGTCATGAATACGGATGTGTGCTCCGTGAAACAGGCAGATCCTGTCATCAGAGATAAGATGCTGCTGGCGGCTCTTGGACCAACAACCAGGAGCCCCAGGGAGGCAAATCGTGCCATAGGGTGGACGGTGTTAATCACTGTGCTTCCCTTGTACAAGAACAGGCTCCAGCACCAGGAGCAGGCAGCTGTAACCTGGATTCCTCCTGAGTATGAATAAGGGGGAGATGAAGTTTTGGCTCAGATGAGTAGCTCACAGATGACTGTGCATGGAACTCAAGAGGAGGCAGAGCACGATTGATGCAGAGGGGCTGATGACTAAGAAGAGATGTCTGCCCAACCCAACCCAAAATGAGCTCTCCACCACCCTTTTCAATAAGAATGATGATGACGTTGAACTTGGAAATGAGAGATTTGAGATGAAGCAAAAGTAAAAATCCCGAGAGGCTCATGAGGGAGAGAAGCTAAACTCCCTTCAGTGCCTGGAAAGAGCTGTCACATGGAATTGCAAATCCAAGAGCAAGGATTTATGACAGAGCTAATAATAAAAAGAAAAGAGTTGGTGTTTTATAACCAGAGCCTGCAATCCTGATTCTGAGGAGGGGCAGGAGGGAGGAAAGCACTAGTAGCTCATTTCTGAGCTGCAGTACGCTGAATCTACCTAAAGTCCAGTAAAGCATTTGATACAGCATCTC